GCTGTGAAAATGTGTATATTGTCCTGTCCATGTACTTTTTCTATGCAAATTTCTTTTTATGCTACCATCTGGTTTTCTTGTAAGTAGGACATCCAGGAAGGCAATTCTGTTTTGGAATTCCTCTTCGCACGTGAATTTCATAGCCGAATGTACTTCATTGAATTCAGTAATTATTGTATTCCTATCCGAATCATTATCACAAAGAATGAAGGTGTCATCCATATACTGGAAATAAAATGAAAACTTACTGTTAAGGTTGTTCAAAGGTCCACTTTGTAGCTTACTTAAAAAGAAATCAGCCAGAATGGGACCCAGTGGGGAGCCCATCGCCACCCCGTCCACTTGCCTGTAAAGTGTGCCGTCAAATTTGAAATTTACATTCATGGTACACCTTAATAACAAAATTCTTTTAGGATTTCAGTAGGGATGCCAATGTTTATCGACTGGTTATCCACTTGTTCACATATGTAGTTAACTGTTTCTACTAGAGGTACATTTTTGTGAATAAAGATGTTATGTCCAGAGATATCATGGTTTTGTCCTTGATATTAATATCTTTGATTTTGTCCACGAATTCAAATACATCTTTGACGCTATATATTTCACTATCTTCTCATGCAAAGGTTTGAGAATATTTACTAACCATCAATAGAAAAAAACAACTCAATTCTCCTTAAGTTTGCCGAAGCAATCTCTATCAAACGCCTGAAACACGATTTGTCTGTTGAGAAAGAAGCAGTTATCAGTCTTTTCTTGCCTAGCCTGGTAACTGGATGTCTTTATTCTCCCTGTAACAACAGAAGACAAGGGCCAGGCAACAGATCGTTTATTAAGGAAAATCAACACATATTTATAGATTTTAATGTACATTATAGTAGATTATTGTTAGTAGAAAATACAGTCTTTTGATTGGTTATTTCTCACAGAAAGTTAACCTTGCATCTCTTTGTGGCTGTGTCAGATCATCCATATGCTAACTGTGTCCGCCTACGCAAAGCCTTTGTTCTCATTTTCTCACCACCAATATTGGGGACATAAACATTGACGTCAATTACTGTCTACCAACTTTGGCTCACCACATCCCTTACATTTGATTAGATAATCTTTGGCTTTAACCTCACCCACCCACCCACTTTGATATAGTGCAATTTTGCTTGTCTCTTGTTTCTATGATATGAATTGAACTCAGTACATTATTACCTAATTTATTAGTCACTCAGCATCTTACGCACCCCTTGTTTTTCAATTACGTAACTCCTTTACCATTGTATGCATACACTTACTTTGTTTAAACTTGAACTCTCTGGGAAAAAAACTATATAAGTGTAATTTTCTCAGCACTGTTCATTAAGTTTGGAGCCTCCTTCTGTCAACTGACAATTATGTAAAATTTGTAAGTATGTTAAAACTGTTTCTGTATTTAAACTTCACAATTTATTGAGACTGTAAGCAGCAGCTGAGCTGATGAGAGAAGGCAACGAAATTAAACAGTAATGTGGTACCATATTATTCTGCACAAACCACCACTGTTGTTCTTCTTGCTTTATTCATAATCATAGTTATACATGTGTCCAAACCAAGTTCACTTTTAACAGTTTGAAAAAATTTGGGCATTGGGTGGTATATGATATTCATTATAATAAAGGTTTTCTTGTATTTCCCAATGAATGAAAAACAAAACGATTTAGTTGTCGTTTTTACTGACGTTTCGCTATTTAATGCTGCCGCTAATAGCTTTATCAAAGTATTATTAAACCGGAATTTACAAAATCTCAGCATATATATAAATAACAAAGAGTTAAGAGGTGAGAAAATAAACTACTTAGGTCAAGTTAAAAGGGACATATTGAAAGTCAAAATAACAATGAAGATCACTAGACCAAATAACAAAGGTAATAGTACACCTGTTATGATATCAAAACAAAGTTTACTAACTTGATCATCGTTCGTCAGTCTGGGGGCATTTTTCGTTGTCAAGTTGGTCAATTGGTAAAGATAACAAAACCAGGTAGGTGTAGATTGTTGAATTTGATCAGTTTTAAATTATAAAAGCAGTGTGTGTTTACATAGTGAACTTGCATATCACATTCGTGTTGATTTTGTCACTTCATGGGGGAGGGAGGTGTTGTAACCAGGTCAGATTCTGTTTTAGTCCATCATTCCTATTCAGACAATTTGGATTCCACTTGATATGAAGTGCTTCTGATATTAGACGTTCTTTGTGATTTCTGAAGTTTTTCTGGATGATGATTTCAATATTGTCAAAATCAATTTTGTGGCCTGATTCTATAACGTGTAGACCAGCTATGGCTGATGATTTTTCAAGCTTTTCTAGTTCAATCGGATTTCTCGGTGGTCGAACAGACACTCACTCTACGGTGTTCATTTCTTCTGATTTTGATTTCTTTCTGGCGATGTTTGTCCGATGTATATCGCATCACATTCCAAGCAAGCGTTTTATTTTATAGACACAATTAGATAGAGAATCTTTAGGGATTTGATCTTTTATATGGACAAGGTTGTTTCGTAGTGTGTCTGATGGTTTGAAGAAAACTCTAATGTCAGGTGTACTATTACCTTTGTTATTTGGTTTAGTGATCTTCATTGTTATTTTGACTTTCAATATGTCCTTTTAACTTGACCTAAGTCTTTTTTCTCACCTCTAAACTCTTTGTTATATATATGCTGAGATTTTGTAAATTCTGGTTTAATTATACTACTTTGATAAAGCTATTAGCATTAAATAGCGAAACGTCAGTAAAAACGACAACAATATCGTTTTGTTTTTCATTCATTGGGAAATACAAAACACCTTTATCATAATCATAGTTGTTAAAATTAGTCAATGTATAAGAGGAGTGGAATAAGTGTTGTACTATGGTTGTGATGGTGTGATACAGACAATGTGTTCTAACGGAATATTATTCTCATATATTCCCACAGTTCAATACTGCGTTAGCAACAGAATACGATGCATTAAATGGTTGGAGGCAATCGGCCACAGGAAGTCTTGCCTGACCTAGGTTTCGTGCTTTCTGGCACTCACCAGTCAACAAGGCAGGCGTGCCTGCAACCACCTTGAAGGAACTCATGTCCCTTCTGAAGAGATTCGAACCCACGTCACCCAGTGCCACCTGCTGTCAGAGACGAAGTTACCACTGAGGTATTCGGACTCACAATTGACCTCCTGTATAGGACTGTAGGTCACCTAGAATGGTGGCTACATCGCAAACTTTGACTGATAGAATTCAGTCTGCACCAAAGAAAGGACTAGACATATTACACTAGTTACTAACTGGTGTCCAATTGAAGAATTCTATATATTTGAACATTCTATTTCATATTGTTTATTGTAAGCCAAAATCACACGCTCAATGATTGGTTAGAGAATATAAAACTATATATATATACATGGTTACGTAATAAAATGGACAGCTTAATGAATGAATTGTAATCGAGATGCATATAGAAACGAAGGACAACATAGGATTATGCAAGAGTTCTAAGGAAATACAACAGTAATAATCAGACAAAACTCAAGTCAGTAGAAATAAACAAGGTTGAAGTCGATGAGTGTTCAAGGACACTATCCCCCTCTGACCCGGATGGTTGTAGAAAGTTACTAGTAGCGGCTGTATAAGGTGTGCAATAATCGAACACCTTGTCAGTACTGGTCATTTTACCTTAACAAATTCACCTGTTTAAATTAATCTACAAAGTGTAGAATAATCTGGCCAAAGGCCTTATACGCTTTCGTCTCCTTTGCCATTGTTGCGGCTTTAGCCATTCAGACAGACAAAAAACTGGAGCTATGCATACACAACCACTTCTACTGTCATGGCAACAACCTTGTTGATTTCTACCAAGTAGATTTTTGTCTGTTCGTGATTCTGACTTACATAATTTCATATTTTTTTCTGCGTTTCTGTGTATCATCCTGATTACACCTCATTCCTTAAATCAGCCGTTTTATGACAACTCATCACTTTTTTGTTACTACTCTCTGTCGAATATAAAAATTTCTCGTATAAATGCGATTGTACAGCTTAGTGAATGAGTTCGTTTTAAAAGAATCTCTTCCCTGCACTACATTTTTTAATATATATTCAACTGTTGGTTTGCAGGGATCTGATTGATTGATTACAGGATTTCATCATGAGTTGAGATATCGATTAGGGAACCATTGAGAAACCTGGAAGTGCTGGACAGCTGTTTCATTTTGAGGCTCACTCACTAGTGATTGACTCTATTCATTCCGGTAGGTAGTGGAAAGTTGTGACTAGTGGGTTGGGGTGCGGGTACAGGAGGTCGGGTGTGACATTGACTAGTTCAAGTCGTGCTACATCGTGAATTGGAAAAAGTTGGGATTCATGGTCTGACGATTGGGTCGGGTCCCAGTGGCTTAATAGTCTGAAAGAGCTTGCTCGCTTTGTAACCGGAAGGTCCTGGCTTCAAACCTCGGCGGTGAGTGCGTACTTCTAAGGAGTCTCAGACTAGGCTGACGAAACAGCTGTCCAGACGAAGATTATTCATTTTCAATTGTTGGTTTGTAGGGATTTGATTAATTGGTTACAGGATTTCTTCATGAGCTGACATATTGGTTAGAGAACCATTGGAAAACCTGAGCAGGGAGTACTGGACAGCCGGTTGTTTCGTCAGCTTAGTTTGAGACTCTTCAACAAATCGAGCCCCAACGGCTTAATGGTCTACGAGCTCGCTAGCCTTGTAACCAGAAGGTCCTGGGTTCAAACCTAGGCAGTGGGTGGGTGCGTACTGCTGAAGAGTCCCAAACTAGGCTGACGAAACAGCCGGCTGTCCAGTACTCCCTGCTCAGGTTTTCCAATGGTTCTCTAACCAATAATGTCAGCTTATGATGAAAAGAAGATTATTCATGTTTTGTATACATTTAAACAGAAAATTTAAAAACAAAGTTATTATTAGTATTATCTATCTATTACTACTACTACTACTACTACTAATAATAATAAATCACATTTTAGACAAATATGCCTGTAAATCATTCAACAACATCAACAACAACAACAACGATAACAGCACCACCACAACCACCACCACCACGTTCATCAATTCCCCTATCAACAAAACGTTCAAGTCCATTTAAACGACGTTATCCACGAAATTTATTACATGTACCATTAAATGGTAATTGGACTGAAGATATATTTTGGACATTAAACAACAACACCACCAATAATCATAATAATAACAGTAATACTAACAATCATACTACTACTAATAGTAATAATCATAGTACTATTACTTCTATCACTACTAGTACTACACCTACTAGTAATAAAAATGTTCACGCCTTATCGTCATCCACCACCTCCGCATATAAAACAAACGGTAAATCGAAACGTCGTAGGCATCGTCAGGTAAATAATATCTTTTTCCTCTTGAAAACAATTCATTCATTCATCTATCTATCTATCTGTCTATCGCTTCCTGTTTATTTGCATGTGTGTGTGTGATTGTGAGCCTGCGCTGGTGTGTGCCGCCGCCCTTTTGTGTTTAGTGCGATTAGCCCTTCAGTAATCATAACCCCGCCCCACCCCCGGCCGCAATCCTAAAATGGCGATCTTATTAACAAATTATTATTTTTTTTAAACAAACGAAATCGCGCCTCCCCCCGCCTCTTTTTTCAGAAATTTTCTTTTCCATTTATTTTTCTTACTTTATTTATGTTTTTGGTGAATTGGTGATTAAAATAATTTTTTACTTTATCAGACAGTTAATCAATATTTGTTCTTCGGCTTTTTGTTCATACTTTTGATTTTTGGACGGGAGGGGAGAATTTTTGTTGTAATTATCTCTGGTGCATTATCCGGATCATTGAAGTAACTATGATACAATCGATCCATCTACTAAAAACTGATCTCCTATCCCCATTTAAAACACACCACTCGACATATGCATGCGAAGATTGTAGTCAGTCGGTGTTTCTCATTTTTAACAACAAAAAAAATATTTTTGACCCTTCTAACTTCTTTTGTGTTTTTGCATTCAACACAGTTAGTTTAAGCCAGCCAGCCAGCCAGTCACGTAGGAAGGGAGGTGTAGACTTCCTGACACTGGTTGGGGTCCTCGACATGGTGGGTGTAAACACCAATGAGGGCTGGAGACAATTATCGGTGATATATATGGCTCAAAGTGATCGTTCTCAGTGGCTGGCTGACTGGCTGGCTGGCGCAGTTAGATGTATCCACTCCTTGTGACTTATAATACCCAAAACTATATATTCTTTTTGCCTCATATCTCTGTTTTGCATTTCTCTTTACTTTCTTCTCTTGCTTTGTGTGCTATATGCAGGAGGGAGTGTGGCGACTTGAACTGCTGCACATCGGTGGAAAGTGGTTCTATGTTGAAAGCAGACAGACGAAAGATGGACAGCATTCTATTTACGTTCCAAATGTGGAGCATAAGGCTTAAAGTTTTGAGTTTTGAATTTTTAGTAACAATGGTGTTTTTTTCTTTATTCTTTTGTTCTTTTCTTACAGGCAGGGTGGACGTTGTTAGTCTCACTTCCAGCTCTTCCCTATTTCGCTGGGCTTGCTTATCTTACTAGTTAGGTTAGGGGTGGGGGGGTTAGAAGTCAATTGGTTGGGAATCGAACCCTAGACCTAAACCACATACAGTAAGTATGGTTGGCGGGAATTCTACCACTGAGCCACTGATGCACTTTGTTCAATATGAAAACAGAAGAATGTTTGTGCTAATTGATAGTTGATGAATAAGAGGTTCCATGGTTCCGAAAGAACTTGTTCCTTACATCAATTTTCATAAGACTGCTAAACGTTGTCTGTTATTATTATTATTATTATTATTCCCTTGGGTTCTATTCGGTGCTGTCCTCTTCAGCTGGCTGATCCCACGATTGCCCATATACTCTCTCATCTCCTCCTTGCATGGTTTCTTCCATATCATATCATCTTCGAATAACCCACTCGTTGCTTCCCATTGAGATTCCTTGTCGAGTGATGGCCTGCATTGCGCGTGATGTTCGTATTCGACGGCCTCCTCAGTGGCAGATACCGGATCCATCTCCATTTTTTTTCCTACATTGGCTCTCTCGCCTGATGGTTTGTTGCCAACCAGAGTTTGTTGTTGCTAATTCTTTCTGCCCTGGCTTTCAGTAGAGACTAGAAATCCATGAGTTTGTAATATTATCTTTCCTAATTTTTCTGACATTCAGTATGTATTGTTATGTTGGTGCTATCGAAGTGTAATCCATTGATATTAATATCATTATTATTGATTCGATGTTATTTAAACAACGACATTAATATTGTTCATAACACTAATTCATTCATTCACTATAATGTGTATATAACTTTAGAGCGTGATGATGAAGAGCAGGTTATCGAAAAGAGTATTCTTTGCTCAGTCACCATTATTTTTGAAATGAGACGATTGAATTCGAATAAAGCCAAACTGGTAAATGAGATATTACCTCATGAAGTTATTAACACTATTGGTCTGAGATCAATATAGGTGAGTATAAGTTGTGATTTGATAAAAGGAATATTATTATTATCATTATTGTTTCCTTTAATTCCTAGAGGAACATAGGTCTTCAGCCGTGCGTCACCATTGCCTTCGGTTCTCTGCTAGAGTCTTCACCTGGCTCCAAGTCTGCCCACACGCCTTCATCTCCTCTTCACATGACCTCCTCCAAGTCACCCTTGCACTGACGACCAACTCGTCGATTACCTTTCGGTTTCCACTCAAGGGCTTGTCTCGTGATGTCACTTGATGGTTTCCTCAGAGTATGGCCAATCCACCTATCTCCATTTCTTCCTGCCTATTTGTTGCACAATCGGTTCCTGCCCTGTTGGTCCGCTCAATGCCAGAGATCCCTCCCTGTTGCTGATATTTTCTGACCGGCCATCTGATCTTGAGTGGTATTGAGCGAAGACAACTGTTAATGAAGGTCTGTAGTTTGTTTGAGATGCTCTTTATGACGCGCTGGCCAAGTCTCTGATGCGTATGGTAAGTAGCACTGACTTCACATTGGAGTTGAAAATCCGGATCTTATTTTTGATGCTGAGTAGTTCTGTTGATCTCCACACAGACTTGAGAGTAGTGAAAGCTTGTCTTACTTTCCCCATTCTTGCTTTGATATCCTCGTTAGTTCCGCCTGTAGTTGAAACGATGCTTCCCAGGTAGGTAGGTGGGTAAAGGAGGTTGTTTCTTTCAGGTTCCTTCCACTTATGCTGATCGTTGTCTGTTGTTGTTGTTGTTCTTGTCCAAGAATCTTCATCACCTCTGTTTTCTCTATGTTACCTGAAGTGAAGTCCTATCTTTGATGCTTCTTCTGCCAACTTGTTTCTTTTCGTCTGATATAAAAGGAATATAGTCTGTAATTTTAGTAACCATACGCGAGTGTGTGTATGTGTGTGTCATTCATTGTCCTCTGAATCAATAGATTATCAGTCTTCAAAATATTGATCTATGCCTTTCTATTACACACCGCTTATTATACTAGAGACTGTTAGGTTAGTTAAAACAAAGAAGTCTTTGATTGCCGCCTACTTCAAAAGATTCTTCCAAGAAACAAAAAAACGCAGACAGCGCCAGTGATTTTATCCCTTCACTCATTTTTGTTGTTGATTGATTCCATTTGGCATTCTGTTAGTGTCGGGTTTTTTATTTTAATGTGGTGTTTTTAATTAATTGTGCTGGTTTTCTAACATCTTTTGATAGGTTTACATGTGAAGTATGCTCACTTTGATGTTATCTATCTAATTATGACAAGCGTTAATAATGACTAACTGACTGGTTTCAACGTAGAACTACTTTGCGCACATATGCACCAGTTCCAGTTGCTACACACCCTCCATGTAGCACACAAAGCAAGAGAATACTGTAAAAAGGCATTCAAAACAGAGATAATAAACAGAAGTGGGGAGGGGGAAAGAATAGTAATATGAGCATTATAAATCATAAAGAGTGGATGCATCTACGTTAGTCATTGAGAACGAAGATTTTGAGCCATATCACCAATTGTCTCGAGCCTTCATTCGTCCTTACAATCCCGAGGACCCCAACCAGTTAGGAAGTCTACACCTCCCTTCCTACGGGGTTTGTTTAAACCAGCTGTTATGAATTTCATTGACTGATAATACCATGTTTTGGTTTCACCATCACCAGTAGCTAGCTCTTTTCCAACCTGATCGATCGATCCTATGGCAGCCTACCATCTCCTGTCAATAGAGGAAGGCGACTGATAGCTGCTACCTTGATATGGTGGTCGCACCGGGCTTGCATTTCTCAATGACCCAACAAACTACACTGGTTGGAACTAATGTTCCCGCAGGTGCCACCACGACAAGAAGGCTTTTAGGATAGCGTTTATACTCAAAGCAGTTACCGGCATAGTGTGAGAATTTATTTTGCACTATAGTGGGGGTCTGTAGGCGAAGTCGTACTGCTGGGGAATAGGGATGTAAAACAGCAGTAAGGTGTTTCCCTCAGATGACCAGCATGCCAGCCAGCTATGCTGTCTCTCCACTGTGGAGAGAGTGAGGGTTAGAAAAGGTCGACCCCAAAAATTGTACATCCCAACTCATCCTACGGTGGTCCATAACCAGCGGAAAGTTACTAATAGGAAAGCAAACCGAAAAGCCAGTTGAAGCAGGCCGCGTGCGTGTAACCGACTGGCTTCAAGCAGTTGTCTCCAAGGCGCTCTGTGGTGGCGCAACATCAGTTGACGAGACTGTGAAATTACATCGATTGAGATGGTTAGAACATGTGCTACGTATGCCTAGTCATCACCTTCCTCGACTGATGGGCAATGTTAGCTGATACAGGGTCAGGCTGGAAAACAGCTAGCGGCGGTCAAACAAAAACATGGCACCAGTCAATGAAATCTACAACAGTTAGTCTAGACTGGTTGGGGTCCTCAGGACGGTAAAAAGCAATGGTTGGAAACAATTGGTGACATGGCTCAAAATCGTTCACAATGGTGCAGATGCATCCACTCCTTGTGACTTATGATTTCCAATGAAACTGTTTTGTTCTTCGTTATTACTATTCCTTTGTCTCACACCTCTGTTCACTGTCTCTAATATGCATTTCTCCTACTTTCTTCTCTTGCTTTGTGTGCTACATGGAGTGTGGCGACTTGAACTTCCGCACATATGAGCAAAGTTCTATGTCGAAAACCGACCGACCGGAGAACACTAATTCCAGTGTTGCTACAAAGACTGTTTCCTTCAAGGATATTTGAAGTTGTTTTCTTAAGGATACTTTAGCTATTAATTCTCCTCTGAAATTATAGTTCATTTCTCTGAACCTTTCAATTTGATATTCGTGTCAATAGATCTCAGTTTTGCATTACTGAAGCTCTTGTCATTTCAGATAATTAAAAAAACAA